TATCGATGAGGACGCGAAGACAGGTGGATGTACTGGGACAGGGGGACATGCCCAGTTGTATGCAGTGTCCACACTGACCACTGACCATGTGTAGCTTCAGGAACAGTAATTTCGGTGATGGCTGGATTAAACATGGGGCAAGCCACAGCTGGAGGGCAGAGTGACTGAACGTGCACACGTTCTCCTAAAGTTCTGTGATAGGGAGAGCTTGGGTGAACCCAGCAGGGAGACTGGAGTTTATTTGATGTCTCTTTCAGCCACATCCTGCCCTCCAAGGTGCGGCCATGGCTGCCAGCTGCTGCGATCACTGGGCTTAACATGGCAGCTGTGTCTTGTGTCTTGTAATGTGTCAACACATGACCCCATAGCTTGTGCTGAGTACAGGGAATGTACAAAGAGATGAAAAACATGAACCTTACTTAAAGTTGAACATTTCTCTGGAATCCTCTTCTCCAGGAAAAGGGACCTGGAGTGGAATAGGGATGGCCTCAGCATTCATTTTTTTCTAGATGCAAGAATGGAGGAAAGAAAATTTCAAGATATAATTTACCTGAAATAAAAGTCAGTTTGTCTAAATGGAAAACCTAAGATTATAAAACTACAGAAGGAAACATAAGAAAAATATAAGTAAGCTTTGGTTAGAGAGATTTCTTAGATTAGGAAAAAAAAAAGAAAATACATGGTAAATCAAACCTCAAAATATATATATTTTTTACTTTTAAAGGATATCACTTTAAAAATGAAAAGACAAGCCACAAACTGGAAGACACTATTGGCAAATAGATATCTGATAAAGGATTTGCATCCAGGAAATATAAATAACACTGAAACTAGTAATGGTTGAATAAATAGCTCAGATGAGAAACGGGCGAAGTCCTGTACATTCACCAAAGAGATACATGATGTAAATTAGCACAGGGAAGGCAGCTCACTACCAGTCAGCACTAGGGAAACATTGAATGAAATCACAAGGAGATACCTCTTATACACTTAATAGAATGACAAGACCTTGGCCAGTGGGAGTGCAAAGTAGAGTAGCCACTTTGAGAAGCAGTTTGGCGGTGACTCATAAATGAAACAAACTTACCATATGATCCAGATATCCCACTTCAATATATTTTATCCTAGAGAAACTACAGCATATGTTCATATAAAAACATATATGTGGATGTTTATAGTAACTTTATTTATAATTACAAAACTGCAGCAATCCAGATGTCCTTTAGCTGGTGAGTGGATAAATGATTGTACTTCTATGTAATGAAATAGGACAGATATTGATATTGGGGCTGAATTAGTCCTAGAATGATCTGTTCTGTTCCTGCCATAACAAAGCTTCAAAGCTGTCCTGAAACAGATCCAGCTGATGCAGTTTGTTCACCTTCATGCCCGAACAAATACAACACTGTAGAGGAATACCACAAAATCCAAGAACAAATGATGTAAAGTTCATAATGTTCATCCAATTAAAATTTTTCTAGCATGCTATGAAGCTTAAAAATACAACCCATAATTTGGAGAAATTGCAATCCAAAAAAGACATCCAGAAATAACAGTGATCATGGGATTAGTATACAAGGACCTTAAAACAACAGTGATAAATATTAATATGCATAGTAGTTTAAAGGCAAACAGGGACATCGGTTACAAGAGGGGATATTTGAATAAAACATCTAAATAGGATGTCTGGAGATGAAAAAACAATAAGTGAAATGAAAAATATGCTGGGTGAGACTAGAAGCACAGTGGACACTGCAGAAGAAAAAAATCCATGAATTTGAAGACATGAGAGAAACTGCCCAAAATGAAGCATATACGAAGAAAAGAGACTGAAAAGAAGTCTGTGTGTTCATGAACTGTGGAACATCAAGAGTATTAACATACGAGCAACTGGAGTCTCAGAAGGGCACTGACAGAGTGGGCTCAGAAATTATATGAATAAATAATGGCCAAAATTTTCTAAATTGAATGAATATGGGTTTTCCCCCACTTATCTGAAAGTCAAATGTGCCTATAAATCCTTTCATAAGCCAAAATGGCTTAAATCAAAGAAGCAATTACCATTAATTGTTGAGTGTTCCCAGACCCAAAAAGTAACCTCTCTTAGGGTTTTTGTGTATCTTAGGTCATATCATGCTAACAGATGTAAAAAACAAATTGAGATTAAGCACAGGTGCCCACAGACACAGTTCAAAGCTGTGGCAGCTTCATGCTGAGGTGCTGAGGGTGGCTCCCAGGAAGGGCCGTGGCGGCTGCCCTGGGAGGCACGTCGCCTCTGTAAGTGCTCATTGCAAAACAAACATGGAATGCTCCACTTTTCCCATTTTTCATAAAAGCAAAAGTCCTCTTCAGATTTCTTTTGGTTGACAAAAACAGGTACTAATCAAAGAAGCAATTTTGTAAAAGCAAAGTGTCATAATATGGCCTTTTTAGAAAGCAGGGGATACTTGTATTATAAACCACAGATACGAGAAGTACAATAAACATCAAGCAACAGGAAGAAAGAAAACCAAATAAAAGCATATCATAAGCAAATTGCTGAAAGCCAGCATTAAAAAGAATCTTAAAAGCAGCCAGATGTAAAAAAAAAAAAATAGAAAAGAAGGAGAAAGGTGCCAAATTTTGTACAGAGCAACGAAGATCCCCATGTCAGCAAGCTTTACATCAGACTATGAAGGCCAGAATACAGTGGAACATGTTTAAAGCACTGATAGAGAAGAAAAGAAAAAACAAACATAAAACACACAAATACCATCCCTGACAAAAATACATTTCAAAAATTAAGCTAACATAAATCTTTCAACAATTCAAAGCTGAGAGATTTCAAGAAATAGTAAAGGAATTTCTGGAAGATAATGACACCGCATGGAGACATGTGCCTGCATATAGGAATGTAGAGGGCCAGATATGCTGAATCTGAAGATAAATATATGTGAAAAATAAAAGAGATGTGATCTCTGCTCCTGATTTCCCCAGTGCTCTTTCCCCCCTTGGCAGTAACAGGGCTCGTCCAGGGTAGATGAGCAGAGATCCACCTGAAGTCAGGCAGGGGGACCTTGCAGACTTTCTGGGGATGCTGTGGAACCATCCACACTAAGCTTTGGGAGACAAACCAGTGGAGTCATCCATTCTGGATAAAAGGGGAGGGCAGTCACCATCTCTAATTCCCATTTCTTATACTCATGGAATCAGGACAGCACCTCCAGGCTTCTCCATTGTCCCAGAAAATAACATTGGGCTGGTGTGTGGGGTTTGAAGGTATACCAGAAATCTCACACCAAGTACTCAGTTTCTTTGAATGGCTTTGCACGGTTCAGTATATTTTTCTGCAGGTTGCTTTCTTCATGTAACCCCTGAGCATTTGACAACGTTCTGGTAGTAAGGAGCAGTTCCAGACAGATCCTCAGCCCATGCTGCTTTAAAAGCAAGGGCCAAGAGCACTGGAGCCATAGCTATATATTCAACCTGTACCCCGGAACCAATTCGGAACCTTGAACACAAACAGGAAATGATCAATTCATCTTTAATGTTCGTTTCTTTGGTTTGCGTGAGAGATTTCTGTTTTGACTGTGCAATGTTGCAAAGAAAAATTCAAACAGAGAAAAATCCATATCTGAATTTCCTTTTCTACATTTGCTGAACCTGTTACAAATACCACTTTACCTTTGTATCCCCACTGCCCTGCAAGGTGATGCACAGAGAGGATGCACTAAATATGCTCTAAGGACGATCAGAAAATAAGTTCCAAAAAGGTGGTGAAATTATTAATTTCTCAACGTCAAAAATCTCCTAGAGTTGGAGAAAAAAAAATCTATTTAATTTTTAATCCTAAGTGTCCTGAAAATGCTAAACATTATTTAAAAATTAAAGCCAAAATACCCATATCCTTATTTGCAGTTATTTGTACATCTTGAAGTATAATACACTAAAATTATCCAAATAGATTAGTACAGCTAGAACTGTATCTGAGATAGAATTCCACTCATACATGGTGACACTATTCCTCAACCCCTGCTGCTGAAGACTAAATCCTTTGGATATTCAGCTTTCAGTCTTGGCCTCTCTTCCATGCCAGTTAACTAACATTATTTTACTTTCACTTGTAACCAGTGGAAAATAGTACAGAAGACAAAAACTGGATTTAGTGCATGTGAAAGGAGTTTAAACCTGACTAATGAGAATAGTTCAAAGTAAATGCTTAAATAGTGCTTTGTGCCATTTACACTACAGAACACTGACATTGCATCTGATGCCTGTAGGGCGCTGAGCCTCAGGGAGGTGGCTCACCGGGGTGGCCCACACTTTGATAGTTGGCAGCTTGGGTACAACCCCCCACCCCAGTAGGTCATCTCTCCACCCCTGCACTGTGCAGGGTCCCCGGCTGCCTCCCATTACAGTGTCTTTGTATATGTAAAAACTGCCTTGAGGGACGCAGGCGGCAGAATGTCTGTGTAGATTACATGATGTGTGTTCTTTCTGTGTACACCTGTTACTTGTGAAACATCATGATCACCGTGGTTCTACCAAGACAGGGCATTAATGATGTTACTGCTTATTATGTGTTACTTATGCTTTTGTTAAAGGGCATTGTCATTTCTTTGAATGAAAAATGAGTTTTCTTTCTAAATTAATAGGACATATTATTCAGTAATAGCTATGTACATCAAATAAAGCATTCCCCATGACAACCTACTTATTCAGAAAAGCCTTGAATAATAATAATAGTAAATAATTATAATATAATTCCAATAGTAGCTGCCATGAATGAATGACTAATTAGCAATAGATGGTTTATATTCTGGTTTATTAATCCTCACAACTGTCATGAAAGGAAGTGATTACTACCCCCACTTTACTCTGAAAAAAATTACCCAAAATGAATTTAAAGCCTTACTTCTGAGTGGGTGCCCTGTGGAAGCCAACTACTCTGTTACTTTATTTTGCCTGCTGCTGATGGCAACCTTCAGACTGAGCTAATCCCTTTCTGCCTTCGCCTTTAGGATTTGACACCAGTATTTTGCCCATTTGCAAGGATTCGCTTGGTTGGATGTTTAACAGACTTGATACAAACTATGACCTGCTGCTGGACCAGTCTGAGCTTGGAAGCATTTACCTTGATAAGAACGAACAGTGCACCAAGGCATTCTTCAATTCTTGTGACACGTACAAGGACAGTTTGATATCTAACAATGAATGGTGCTACTGCTTCCAGAGACAGCAAGGTAAAGGGTGAGGCTCTGCCGGTGCAGACAGTGGACCTGCATGTCAAGTTGTATCTATTCCTTCACAATAAAGAAAAATAGTACATTATACCCCATTCACTTTGGTAGATACTTTTTTCTAATTAGAGTGTTTAATAAAGGAGCAAATAAGCAGCATATTGAGCAATATAACTCTGCTAGGGTTGCAAAACATGCTAAATAAGATGAAAAATAGTAATTAATACTTCATATTAATGCACTTCAGTATAGTTTCCATTATGAGCCACCAGGAAGCACATAGAGATAGGAGAACATAGATATTAAAAGTAATCATTAAAATTAATTTGCTATCTTCTTTGCTCACAGTGTAAAATAAATGGTTTTTTTATCATTATACTGTGGAGTTTTAATGTGCTATTCTGTGATTTTATTAAATGAGCTGAATGAACCACAGCATTCACCATAAAGTTATTTTTACTTATTTGACTTTAAAATGGCATAGTCTTTTGGGCTTTTCTAAATAGCTTAGCATTTTTAAAATTTACTAGCAAAGAAAGTGTTGATTCTCTGGGCAAACAAGCCATCCTGGAGTGAGGCTATTCGTTACGCATCCTTCTTTATCAGGAAATGCAGTGAGACAGTGCATTGCAAGCATGCTTACACAAGCAACCGAATGATGAGTTAAAGTAATTATTGAAGGGAAATAGATCCCAAAAAACTCACACTTGGAGAAAGTTTGAGAAGATAAGGAGACAGTAATATGTGTAATTTCGATGCTAATTTTAAAAACAAATGCCTGCTGTTGTCAGCTCATTAAACAGTTCTTGACAGCTAAGAGAAGGAACAAATAAAATAATTTAAATTATAGTAGTGATTCCCAGTTTTTCATATGGGAAACCAACACATATAGGGCATTTCACTTCCTATTGCTTTCTCAAATATTAGGAATAGTTTAGTAATTAGGGATGAAATGATTATCATAATCGACCAGTAGTGAGCCAACATCATGGTGCATGGAGTTGCTTATCTATTTATAAATCACTTTAAACAAAGTTTAAAATTAAATATTTGACTTATTAAAATATTCTAAGTTATACACACACACACAGTTGACTTTCCTATTATGTAGGTGCCTCCTAGATTACTGAACACTTCTAAGAAACTATGTCCTAGTTTTAATGATTTAAATCTAAAATTTAGTAATTTAAATTTAAAATGAGTCAGTTAAATCAGTTAGAATAGAAAAGTCAGTCCAGGTAAACTGCTATAAAAAGATATGTGGTCTTTTTTTATGTTATTTTATTTTATTTTTTTGAATGTTATGATGGCATGTTTACCTGTTTATACGTGAACACTTTAAAGTATTTTGAATAACAATAAATGTTTCTTCTATAGATATAAATATTTTGACCTTAAAATGTTCTTGGATTTTGCAGTGATATTTGTAGAACTGATTAATATTCCCCAAGGAAAAATTTTGCTTTATATCCTTTCCACTTATTAAGCAGTATTCTTCCAAATTAAAATTTTTATAATCATGTGAAGATATTCTCTGAGATCATTTAATACATAGTAGAAATAGTTTAATAAATAGTGAAGATATTTTCTGATAGTTGGTGAAAGGATTTATACAACTTCTCAAAATCTGAGGAAAATTTGGCTCATTATGTTTATTACTTTAATATGCCAGTATATGTTATAAAACTCAGGGTAACTGAGTTACCAATTGGCTCATTAAGTAATTTCATGAAGGTCATGTTTTTCCTGTTTGTTTATTCAATAAAAACAACTAATTACTAAGTTAATTATAATAAGAGTAATATGTGTGTGTAATTATAAGTATATATGTTGGTAGAGAGAGAGAACAGCATCTCATTAGGTGTTATTAGTGCAGGTTGACCTAAAACTGCAGTGAAGACTATAGTTGTGTAGTGTTGGAAAATATCTAAAAAATAAAGAAATGGTGTTTTTTTAAGAAAGAACTTTCAAAAACATAAAATTAAAGTTTAATAAATGAGCTTAAGAACGTAAAATTTCAAGTCAGTGAAATGTGTGTAGTTTTCCAAGGAAAGAAACTTTTTAATTTTAATTAAGATACAAGTTTGTTTCTCTAACTTTCTGAAATCATGACAATTAAGCAATACAAAATAGATATGATGGTGGTTTATTTAATTCTTTGTTCTAGGTAATCATGGAGGAATGAGTCAAAAGAATAGTAATTGGGAGTTTTGGTTACCTTCAGATTTAATAACTTATTTTCATTAAAGTGTATTCTAAGTTTCCATTCTAAAAAAGTAAATTAATTATTAGTTGCTCTTTCATTTAAAGTCCTGTTGTGTGAGATCAGGGAAAGAGAAAGAATACTAACATTAATTCAGGTCCATGTACAGTCTTCCATATACGTAAAACTATTTATTACTCAAACAGCCATGTTGAAAATATTTTCATTCCCATTTTATGGCTAAGGACTAAATCATATTGATCTGGAGGGACTTAACATAACAGAATGAGTTTAGGACCTGGGATTTGATACTAGAGTCCTTGGCTTCTGTCTTCACATAGTTTAATTCTATATTCAAAGTTTGCAAATTATATCTAAGTAATATATAAAATGCCATCAAGACATTACTGTACAGCTTGTCAGCAAACTCCATTCACTACAGGTCACATCTGCAGGTCTCATTTTAGTCAATGATATATCCAATATTGTTTCTCAGGACTACAGTGAAAACAGATAACATTTTTAGAGGTCCCTTATACATTTATTTAATCTACAGAAAGTTATATCAAAATGTGGGTCATGTGTATTAATTTTGCAAAAGATGTTTTTCCTATTTAATGAAAGACATTAAATACAAAGAATTTTGTCCCTTGCTATTATGCTTATTTAAAATTTCCATGTATGAAGTAAACAAATATATATGTGTGGAGAGAGAGAGAACAGCATCTTATGAGGTTTATCTATTCTTTGTGATACTATATGAAGAATAAAATATGAGAAGAAAAGGGAATGGGACAGTGCTTGTTGGAAAGGAACTAGAGAACTACCTGCTGCATAACCTCAGGGTGCCTTCCATTCATGGACATGGATAGCGCCATGGGGCTGAACAACTGATGCAGCCTGTGCATTCTTTCATGCAATGCTGCCCTGCAGAGAGCCGTTCTCAGGCCTGTGAGAGTCGCAGCTTTTCTAGTTTTGACTCTAAATTGTCCATATATATTCAACAGCTAATACAAATATACTCCCTAGAAATGACTAGGTGCAAGTATAGAAAAAAACACATTTTCACACTAATAATTATTCTAAACACACAGATATTTCCTTATTTATTTTTCACAGTGACAGTTCTATTAAAAATTGGGAAAATAAAAATGCATCATTGTTATCACTGAATTGAAAATGATCAATTCCTAATATAGAGTATATATGAATAGCCCCATGATAAGAATTCTAGTTTTTAAGTTCACAATGAAAAACAATAAACAATGCTGCTTTCAAAAACAACATTTTGAAATGTAGCCAGTAAAACATGTTTCATTTTTCTTTTTTTCTTGTTTTTCTAAACTAATGTTTGGAATAATTACTTGTAAATTCAGGGATTAAGTTAAATCTTATATATTTTATTAATGATTCTCATACAAATTCGAGCATGTAAAATCAGAATTTTCCATAAGTCAAAGCACTCTTAAGTCATTAACAGTTTTGGGAAAATGAATCTTGTGTTATAAATCTGTGCCTGTATTCTAGGCTAAATATTCACAGTCATGTCTAAACCTTCATGCAACTAGTTAGGGAGCTCTCTTTCCATCCCAATCATTTCTTTCCAAGTAAGTTTAATGATAGGTGAAATCTCAATTAAGCTCTCCAACTCTACCTAAGATAAAGATGAGATAGGGCTGCCTTGTGAATAATAGAAGAAAAATTTCAAAATAAAATTTGTGGTTTAAAGCTTAATCTGTCATGATAACTCTCAATATCTTAAAATGTTCCCCTGCACAGTCCTGTAGGATCAGTGCTTATGTTTATTCAGTGAGGTTCCGAATCAGGACTCAGGTCCCAAAGGTGTCTGGATTTCAGGCAGCGCCATAGCGAACATGCAGGAAATATTCCTTCCACTTTGTAGTAACTGGGAATTGTTTTCAGTACAATATTGAAACTCCAGCTGTATTCTTTCCTCTTGATCCAACATGTTATATTTGGAAAGCAATAAATTTAAAATGTTTATTCTATAAACTCATACTATGGAAGTTTATTCTTATTCCTCTAAAACATAGTGTAGGAGACACATTATGATCAGGAAAATCAAAGGAATAAATTGGACCAAATTCAAAGTGAAGTAGAATAAGGTGATTATTTAGGCTTTTCAAAAAAAGTACTTTCTGTCCACATTTTAGACTCCTGAAAGAAAACTTTTTTTGGCCTTATATATTAAACTGTAAAACATACATAAACATTTGATCTCATTTCCTCATTCCACTTTATTACTTACGTGCAAATTTAAAAACAATATTGTGAAGTGGATATACTAAAGAGTTTTAAAATTGTTTGAATTAATTATGTCTCGCCTTTTTCCTAAAAAATTGTAGTGTACAAAAATAGGTACGAGTTTATTGTTAGCTGTTTCAATAGTTTATGATGCAGTTTTTATTAGCAAATATCAACAGCAAATTTCTGGAATATGAGTATAAAATACATTGAATTCTTTTCAGATAAGAATGTTATATATAACAATATATATCACTTAATAATGTAATTACATGTTAATAATACTATAAGCCAAACTCTAGTGTGTCCATTAGAATTTCACACCTCTCTAAAAATGTTCTCTAAGTGACTGAGTTTGAAAAGTAGACAAATAGTTGTTTCCAAATTGATTTAATGTTTTAAGTTTAATTTTTAGGAGAGGGCTTGTCAGAAAATATTGTATCTTATGTCCTGTTTCCAAATTGCATGTAGTATTGAAGTACCCAGGGGAAACTAAAAAGACCAAGGCCTGTCAACATTACACAACACCAAAATTTATAATCGTTTTTCTGATATAACCTGAAAGAAGCATTAATAGATTGCTTTTCGTAAATTACTCTTTTTCATGGAAAGCTATTTCTCTACACAATAGCAACTGTTTTAAATGAGGGCAAACTGTAATCAGTTCATTATTTGGGCTGCAGTCTATCAGCTGAATTTACATCGCTGAGCTGATTAAGCATTTAAGCTAAGCTTTTCCCATCATATTAGCATTTTATACTATTCCCTTTTATTTTTCATCCAATTTCATCACTCTGAAGAAAACCAATATACTCTAAAATTAATAGTTGGAAAACCTCTCTCTCTCTGTATAAATATTTGTATGTGTATTCATGTGTATATATACACCTGTGCATCTCCATTTTTAAAAATAACAACTAATATGTAATACGTCTTCTAAAGCTATGTAAAGACTAATTGAAGTTTGATAACATAGAAATTATACTTTCATTGTTTAACTAGAATCCTTGAAGTAACACTTAATGTCATTGCAGACCCACCTTGCCAGACGGAGCTCAGCAATATTCAGAAGCGACAGGGGATGAAAAAGTTCCTAGGTGAGCAATAGATCATGCTTCCGAAGCCTTTATTGCTTACATAAATAACCCCAGGGAAACAGCAACATAAAATCAATATTAATCCAATGAAGATAGACTACACTAAATTTTAGTAACAAAATTTATGAAGTTCCTGAAAGCCATTAAACTTACTTTTATTATCTTACCTATTGAAAGATATTACATCTGTTTTATTACCTAATATAATGTTCATTTTGAAAGTTATTAAGTAAAAAAAGAGATTTAAACAATGCTGAATTTAAAGCATCAGCAGAACCTTCAATTTTAATTCTAAGGTTAACAGTTCAAGAACTGATGGCATCTCTCTCTCTCTCTCTCTCTGAGTGGCATGAAGGCATGCCTTTTGTACCTCACGGAGATTTGAGCAGACTTTTTAGTGTTTTTCATTAGCACTTTTTACTAACTTACTTTCAGTATGTAAATGTGTGTATTGGACAGTGAGAGAGAGACAGAGAGAGGGAGACAGACAATTCCACATGTTATCCAAAGCCTTAAAATAGAATGTTTGGCTATCAACACATTCTTTAACTATATATAATTCATAATTATGTATAATTATTTTGTTTATTCTTATAAGCATACAATTTTAAATAAACTGTAATAATTCACAAAGACAGTACAGTTTCCACATGTCCTCCAGCCTCTCCTAAAGCTACCACATCTCCATGTATCAAATAACCATTACGTATTTATTAAATCTAAGAAACTACTATTGCTATAGTCTTATAAATTAAGCCTCAGATTTTATTTGGATTTCACCCGTTTTTCCACTGATGTCCTTTTTCTACTTTAGAATCCAATGCACAGCACCACATACACAATGTGGGTTTTTTTTTCATGTATATTAATGCCTTTATATATTTAGTGGCACATAATTTTATTATATTTTTTAATCTGATTAATCAGTATTACATTATGTTATGCTGTCTTTGTAATTATAATATTGAATGTTTACAGGAGAATATTTTTCGTATTATTTGAAAATCCAAAGTTCAAAATAAAAAGGCTAGTTTTTACAATAAAGCATTTTTAGATATGGAACATTGCTAACAATTAAAGCTACAATGTGTCATGTTTTTCTTAATTCTGTTACAGAATGCATGCCATATTACAGCTCACAAGTCCATGTACAAAAAGAAAAGCCATTGAAATTCAGCTGAAAAGTATTTTAGACTCGATCAGGTCCATTAGTGACAAATCTATTAAAATTCAGTCTTTAAAGTTAAAAAAAAAAGCATGAAATATAGTTAGCACCCATTTGGGAGGAGTTGCCTTTCTTTTTCTGACATGACAAAAATGAAAAGTCATTATTAAAATGACTTTGAGTGTCATTCAAAGGGATTAGTGAATCCTTAAACCTTTCTTACAGTTTGGGTAGGGTAACAGTAGCAAATCGAAAATTGATCAGTTGTTATATAGAGGAGGGCACCATATGCTCCAGCTTGTGGGTTCAGCTTGGTTGTTTGCAGTTCTAACATAACATCTGTGTGTGTGTGTGTGTGTGTGTGTGTGTGTGTGTGTGTCTGTGACAGGGCAGTACATCCCCCTGTGCGATGAAGATGGTTACTACAAGCCAACCCAATGCCATGGCAGTGTGGGGCAGTGCTGGTGCGTCGACAGATACGGAAATGAAGTCGTAGGATCCAGAACCAGTGGTGGTGCCGACTGTGGTGAGCATATGTCCCATTCATTGTTCAGGCATTGAATGAGGGTGTACTCTATGCAAAGGCTATAGGGTCAGTGCGGGACGGTTACAAAAAGACTCACCCCCAAGCATATCAAATACCTGCATTAAATGAAGTTGCATAATTTGACTATGTTAGGAGAGATTAATTCAAAGGTGGGCTCCTTTTGTTGCCCCCATTTGATTCCAGGTTAGCTGACTCTAGAGTGTGGGATGTCCCCACATGGCACTCTTCTGTCTGCATACCTTTGGAGGGTTGGCTGAGGGTGTACATAGGCTCACCCACAAAGAAAAGTAACCTTAAAGTTAGAGATCCAAAAATTGATGCTGTATGTTTTTCTATGTTTAGGTGAGAAAAATAGAGTTAATTGTTTGAGGGGTAATTATAATTAATATTCTAATGCTTTTTATGAGCATGCATTTTCATGTGTATGCCTAAAAATCATATTACAGTTGAGCATCAAAAGCATGCATTCTACAATTTTTAATGTGATATCATTTTTGTTCATAAAATATTATTTCAGAATGCAAGTTTCAAATCAGTATTTTTGTTTGTACTATGGACAGTTTTCACTGCATTAGCATCTTAATTCTGTTACAGAATGCATGCCATATTACAGCTCACAAGTCCATGTACAAAAAGAAAAGCCATTGAAATTCAGCTGAAAAGTATTTTAGACTCGATCAGGTCCATTAGTGACAAATCTATTAAAATTCAGTCTTTAAAGTTAAAAAAAAAAGCATGAAATATAGTTAGCACCCATTTGGGAGGAGTTGCCTTTCTTTTTCTGACATGACAAAAATGAAAAGTCATTATTAAAATGACTTTGAGTGTCATTCAAAGGGATTAGTGAATCCTTAAACCTTTCTTACAGTTTGGGTAGGGTAACAGTAGCAAATCGAAAATTGATCAGTTGTTATATAGAGGAGGGCACCATATGCTCCAGCTTGTGGGTTCAGCTTGGTTGTTTGCAGTTCTAACATAACATCTGTGTGTGTGTGTGTGTGTGTGTGTGTGTGTGTGTGTGTCTGTGACAGGGCAGTACATCCCCCTGTGCGATGAAGATGGTTACTACAAGCCAACCCAATGCCATGGCAGTGTGGGGCAGTGCTGGTGCGTCGACAGATACGGAAATGAAGTCGTAGGATCCAGAACCAGTGGTGGTGCCGACTGTGGTGAGCATATGTCCCATTCATTGTTCAGGCATTGAATGAGGGTGTACTCTATGCAAAGGCTATAGGGTCAGTGCGGGACGGTTACAAAAAGACTCACCCCCAAGCATATCAAATACCTGCATTAAATGAAGTTGCATAATTTGACTATGTTAGGAGAGATTAATTCAAAGGTGGGCTCCTTTTGTTGCCCCCATTTGATTCCAGGTTAGCTGACTCTAGAGTGTGGGATGTCCCCACATGGCACTCTTCTGTCTGCATACCTTTGGAGGGTTGGCTGAGGGTGTACATAGGCTCACCCACAAAGAAAAGTAACCTTAAAGTTAGAGATCCAAAAATTGATGCTGTATGTTTTTCTATGTTTAGGTGAGAAAAATAGAGTTAATTGTTTGAGGGGTAATTATAATTAATATTCTAATGCTTTTTATGAGCATGCATTTTCATGTGTATGCCTAAAAATCATATTACAGTTGAGCATCAAAAGCATGCATTCTACAATTTTTAATGTGATATCATTTTTGTTCATAAAATATTATTTCAGAATGCAAGTTTCAAATCAGTATTTTTGTTTGTACTATGGACAGTTTTCACTGCATTAGCCACTTACCTGTACACACATGCACACACAACACACACCCTCACATGCACAGGCACACATAGGTACACTAGAATTAATGGATTGTGTTTCAACTAATAACACATGACTAAAAATGAAAATAAAGTACTCAGTTTTGTTCTTTAGAAACTCTTTAGTTGTTTCCTTTATGCAATTTTTAAATTGTAAAGGTTTACAAATAAATAGTAAACCATATAAAAGTAACCTCATTTAATGCTTCAATGCCTATTCTGCATTTATTTACTCCGTAAGGATTTAATATCTTGGACTTGGTTTTCTGGCAAATTGTCAGATTTAAGTAGTATTCAATAGCTTCTTAACATAATTTCAACATGTACAGAAATGTTGTCATATGTAATTTAAACTCATTATTTCATTAATTGTTTCATTTATCATGATGGAAAAGAATTTTAATTTTTTATGTTGTAAATAAAAATTATATGGAGATTAATTTAAGAAGTGGAAGGGGAAATTAAGGAACACAACATCTAGGCTTTCTCAGCATCTTGAAATTATTAAGAAAACACCTGAAGTAGGATAATAAAAATAACATTTTCTTCACCTAAGATATGAATTTCAGCATTTTGTGTAATCAGTTTATAAACTCTGAATTACATTAATAAGGTTTGTTATAATTTGTTACCAAAGAATTATAAGATTGAAGTATTAGAAAGGAGAGAAAAAAATGCACTAACATGAGAGGAGTTGAAAAATAATATATACTGAGATATACATGCATTATTGCCTCCTCATATAGTAATGAATTCATTTCTAAATATTTCTTTTTAATACCAAATATTATATTTGTTTCCTATTGCTATTGTAACAAATTCCCACAACACTTGTTGGCTTCACTCACACAATGGTCTCACCTTACAGTTCTGTATGTCAGTATTCCAGCGTGGGTCTCCCTGAGCTAACCGTCAGGTGTCCCAGGGCTGGTTCCTATTGGAGGCTGGGGGACACACCTGTGCCCCTGCCTTTCTCACCTTCTACCCCCTGCTCACCTTCCTTGTCTCATGGACCCTTTCCTCCCACGTCAAGGCTGGCTTCTTTCTGCTGCTTTCTCACTGTTCCTCTGTAGTCACGTCACTTCCTGACTCGGTCTGGGAAAGGTTCTTTGATTTTAAGAAAGCAGGTGACCATCCTGACCCACCTGAATGGTCCAGGATACTCTCCCCAGCTCAAGGTCTTAGCTTGATCGCCTCTGCAGAGTCCCTTTTATCATGGAAGGTCATATGTTCACAGGCTTCAGTGGTTAGGAAGTGATAGAACCAATTTAAATTTCTTCATAAAAGTCAAAGTTTGACATGGATTTCTATAAAAACCAGGATGAGATCAATCAGTATTAACAAACTGGAAATACTGTATATCGGACCTCCTTCCTGATTCTGCTTTTTGGCACACAAATTTTAACCAATGACAGAGATTGGATTTTTCCTTTTTTATGTTTGGTAAGCTAAAGGGCAAATTCAAATTCTACTTAGACAAATTCCTTTAGAAATTATCCCAGTACTGAGTCAAACAGCACAAATTGTATTTTCTCCTAAGCTGTTGATTTTGAGATCTCTGGAGATTTTGCGAGCGGAGACTTCCATGAGTGGGCTGAGGATGAGGATGATGAAGATGCCCTCATGAATGACGAGGACGAGATCGACGATGACGATGAAGACGCAGGGGACGACGACGGTGACGGCGACGACCGTGATGGCGACATCTGACCGATGAGGGCTGAGACCCACCCACCCCACACGAAGCAAAAGGTACCTACTGAGAGGTACCTTCTTGCCCCAAAACAAAATGATTCTAAAACTCACATATATTTTGTATAATTATTTCAGATACTACAGCTAAAATCATAGAGCTTTATGTTTCAATAAGAGTCATTTCTTTGAGTTTTTATATGCCTTAGAGAAAAAGAAAATGCATATGCAGTCTAACCAGTGCCAGACAAAAGAGAGTTGTGAAGAGCTACTGATAGAAACGCCCACGTTTTCATAGGAACAAACTATGTAAATCTCCCACAACCCAGTGACAACCAGAGTTTAGGGTCATATGCATTCTTTTTCTGAGAGATATTCTAAATTAAATTTTCAATGACTTGTCAATGACCTGGGTCCCAAGAATTTTATAAAAATATGCATGACATTGCAGTTCAAAGTAGCATCTTCCCAAACCTAGGCTGAGTTAGAGACAAGCGAGGGGTATCACAGGGTAAGGAAACAAGGTGACGTCTGCAGAGACCTTCATTGTGTTTACATTAATAGTGATATTTTTTTCCATTATGAAATCATTCTGGATATGAGAAGCTATTTTACAAAATGCCAAGTATAGAAAACCATGGATTCTGAAAGTTAAAAATGTAGTTGTCCTTTCTAATTTTTATTTTAGTTTGAATAGTGGTCTTGTGTAGATTTTTTTTTTTCTTTAATATTCTTACGCGGCATGATTTCTTTACCTTTATAGGTTTCTTTGTCCTTCTGACCAGCAACTTAGGGCACAAAGTTTATAGTAGGAATACAAAGGGAAAGATTCATTTAAACGGTATTTCCACAGAAAGTTTGTCATTTGCCCCAATGTCAAATTTTTAATCTCTGAATTCTTATTTTATTTGCTATTTTAGATTAAAAAAATTGCATTTGATCTTAGAATTATGCCCTTTTTTACTACTAATGTCAAAACTTAGAGAATACATTGTATTTTAGCATGCATACCAATATAGGATATTAGGCAATGTCTAAGCATACCCAATTAACAAGTTAATACCAGTGAAGATACTGCTGGAATGAAGAAAATGGAGTATGTTTCTTTCTTATTTTCTATTGTTATATAATTTCCATGTGGACTTGTTTCTGATTATTGTGCATAGTAGCATTTAAGATTTAACTGTAACAAAAATCACTTTAATTGCTGTATTTAACTTAGCATGTTAATTACTTGTGTAGACATTTTGACATACCATCACATTTAAGTATATCAGACTTATGGTTTTGTGCCTATAATAAAAACAAAAAAAAGTGTTGAATGTTACACACTGGTATCATAATTTAAACTGTGGGTCAACTGGTTTCCCAATATAGAATCCATTGAAAGTAAAATTGGTGTATTCTTTCCATTTGGTTTATACACACCAAAAAAAAAAAAACTTTAATGTTGACTTTATGTAATATTTAAAGTAAATTGCATTTTCTTTTCTACTGTTTATGTATAGTTTACAAAATAAAGAATCTTATAACCAAATAAAAGTGTTCCTTAATGATTTTCTGGGATATAGACATTAGCACGAAGGGTTCTTAGTCTATTACATGATTTTTTAAATGAATATATGACAAACTAGCCAGGAAAGCTTTTTGAAGTTTTTGAATTTCAAAATGAGAGCTCTTAGCACCATGGATATTGTCAAAGATATATCCAAAATGGTTTTGGTTTGTTGGTATGTTTAAATGTTTTATTTGATATATTGCTGCAAGATGGATCATTTTCTTTGTTGAAGATGGTATTTTTAAGCCCATTTTTGTGGTATCACATTTAATGTATTTAACTAAACTATAGCAAATAGCATTTTTTAAGAGTGATTGATTACCTTATCTATTTAACAAATGTATAGGAATCATAAAATATATCTAGTGGATTGGTAGGAAAAAGGCAAAAAAGTCCCAGCAAATTCTATATAGAAGTTTAGCAAATGAATTGAAAATAATAATCATACTGGTTTGAAACTAAGCTTTTTTTTAAGTATTATCTGTTAGGCTCCCAGGAAAGCAATTAATTCAACAGCTAACACAAAATTGAAAATATTTGCATTGAATTTTATATCAAGTATATGTGTGCAATATATATTTGCATATATGTGTATAAAAATTCTATTTGTGATGCATATTAGGTCTCTTGATCATTTAATTCATTTTTATTATTTGATTCAATAAATTATACTTTATTTCTTCCAAAAATATCAATATTGAGCACTTTCCATAATCTAGTTACTAATCCAGGCACTAGAGGTTCATTGGGGAACATAATAATTATGAAATTAATATTCTAGTGTGAAAGACAAGCAATACATTTATCCCTAACTCATAACATCATGTAATTGCATCCACCATTAAATCTAGCTATTTCATAGATTTAATTTGAATAAAAATCAATGTATTTTGAGCCCTTAAGAACAATCCTTAAAACAAACTCAAAAATTTAAAGGAGGATTTTTGGTTGAAAAGAATTGAGCTACCCTAACATTTTCTTCTTGAATTCTGATGCATAGCCATGAATGCACTGTGTCACACTTGCAGCCTGTTTCCTTTAGTGTTTTAAGGGACACGCCTGCAAGGTAAAAACTATAAGATGGCCTGAATCACAACAAAGTAAAATTTAAGCTCATTATGGGAAAGAATGGAAACATACAAATAAAATATCAAATGTTTCTGGCATGTCAAAATTCTAATATGGAAACCTATAAATGCTTTTGTTGTGTGCATCTAACATGACGGTTTGGATATGCCCATACCCCTTTGGGAAATAATGAAATAAAAAGAAAAAAAAAGAAACATTTCAATTTTGTCTGAAAGGTCATGTGGCTTAAGGCTGACCTTGTATTTCTGCCAGTGTTTGAACAGAATAAAATCAATCCAGCCAAAAACAATATCAATATCACTAAAATTTCCAAGTTAATAAAACAGATACTGAACACTTTATTCTCCATATATTTACATATTTTTATGAAGCTAAAGAAAATATGAAAAGCAATCCACAAAATGAACATTGATCCATATGGCTGGCCTGCTTATCCTTTCTCTAGAGTGGAGTTAGAGTTTCTTTCATAACTACACATTTGCTTTGAAACAAACATTTTGATGACATTTTGTATAAAATGGATGATGCCGTGGCTGTATGCAAAACACTTTATTCTCCATATATTTACATATTTTTATGAAGCTAAAGAAAATATGAAAAGCAATCCACAAAATGAACATTGATCCATATGGCTGGCCTGCTTATCCTTTCTCTAGAGTGGAGTTAGAGTTTCTTTCATAACTACACATTTGCTTTGAAACAAACATTTTGATGACATTTTGTATAAAATGGATGATGCCGTGGCTGTATGCAACAAGTCTTTGGGGTCTTCAAACTTAGCCTATTCTGCAAGATCCCAAAATGCTAGAGAAAAATGCAGAAAGTAAACCAAACCAAACAGAACCATCATCATTATGAACATGTTTTGACTGATACATAAAGCATTCGCGCACATATTCACACATGCACACGTGAAATTAACCCATTTTTTTCTTTGACTTTAAAAAGTAGCCAGATCAATTTACATTAATGTCTCCTCTCCTGTTCATGATGAGTGAAATCTATAGGATCATATCATAAATTTCTCAGATGAAACAAGGAAACACAAAAATCCAGAATATCTACAGTGGTACAAATATGCAAATAAATGATAGCATAGGCTCCCTGTAGTTTATTCTTTTCAACATCATTTTAAACTTCATAGCTGATATTGAGGTAACTATACTGAAAAAAAGACATTTTCATTCATACTGGCACATATTTTGATATGAAATAAATAAGGTATTTTACTTCTATGCCTTAAAAATATTTCATGAATTGTAACGTGGCTTCATAACACTTTTATCAATGGTTGAGTCAATAAGCACTTCAAAGAGAACATCTTAAACATTAGCTTTATACAATACACACATCCCTCACAGGGCAAGGACATTTGAAGTGATCTTGAATAATCCCTGTTTTTTCTCCTCAGTTACATATGAATTTCTGCCATGTGTGTATTACCTAACATCTCTTTTACCCATTTGTTACATGCCTCAACAAAAAAAGCTTGCAAAGTAAAATTAATACAAATTAGTCCATCGTGAAACATGATTTAGAATGACAAAATGAAAAATTACAGGTGGAAAAAAAAACTCATCAACGTGTACACCCCATCACACCCATACCCACCTCTTTCAAAGACATCCTTGAGAAATTTATTTTTAATGTACTTTAATGATAAATCACCCTCTTGATTTTTAAATGCATCAATGCATAGTACACATACCTGGGTTTGAAATCCACATATCCCCCCCTTCTCATCAGTGAAGTGTAGCTTAAGGTGTTTGCCCAGAGGCTCGTCATAAATATTATAGGAAAAACACAATGCAGGAGCATCATATTTGCCACATAACAGGTGCCATTAGATATCAGGTTTTCCTTTGACTTCAAAATGGGTTAACAAGAGATGTACTGACATTTTCAAGATATGCTGACAAAATTAACATGTCTTTTTAAAGTTTATCCGCATTCATCCAAACAAAAGATCCTGTTTATACAATCTTCATATATTCTATAGTGGTAATAAATAGTGCTCACATCAAAAGGCCATTGTGAGAATAAAAATGAGTTAATGCATGATGTCTGGACAATAGTAAATAGCAAATAAATGCAATTATCATCATGATAAGGGTATGGCACAGCAAATCACAATAAGAAATTAATAAATCCCAAACCCAAATATCAGAGCTCATTGGTTTTCCTAAATATTTCTATATGTTTGAATTAGTATTTTTCAAGAGTAATAGTGTTAACTAGTGTTCCTGTACAATCATTATCTGTACATATAGTCATTGCTAAATATACTAAGTCCATGCAATAAGCTGGTAGAGGGTACTGTCCTTCTTCCATTTGAGGGGGCCTCTCACAGGAATTGCCTGCACTCTCATTCCCAGTTCTCTCCTCTCTGTGCACAAGGCATCTTCCTCTTTCCGTTCACTGTCAGGTTGGGGCCATGTGACCACAGTGAGCTGAAGTGACGTGGTGCTGCGCAGGGCCGGTGTCGTCACCCCCTACAGGCAGTTGAGGTCAAACAGTGACAGAACCGTGTCCCAATCCATGCTTCCAGACCCCCTGCTCTTTCCCCATCAGTCTTCAGCAACTACAGAAACTAACGTCTTGTTCTCATGCAACAGGTGTGTTCTGAAAGCATCTCAGCTATCCCTGAGGTGAAGCAGAGCGTTGATGAGCTAATCCAGGTGACTCGGGGTGTACTGGAATGGCGGTTCAGGGAATGCAGCTTCTGCAGTTCAGATCCCTGAGTTCACCCTGGCTCTGCCCTGTGGCCCTGGGCAACCTGAACCTTGGTATAGCTCAGTCTGTCCAGCTGAGATAGGCAATGTCAGAATTAATGTCATAAAGCTGTGAGGGAGCTCCAGGGAGACTCCTAGGACAACCACTCGCTCAAAAGTGTTGCCAACTATGAAGAAAGGAGTCTGCAGACTGGCAAACATACGGGGCTGCAGCCTGCTTACCAGGTGTGAATCCTGGCTCTGCTGCTTGCTGGCTGTGTGACTTTAGGCAAGTTGCTGAATTATCTCTGTGACTCAGTTTTTTCTCATCAGGAAAATCGGTATAGTGAGGATCCAGAGAGAGGATGACAAGCTTTAATATTTTTAAAAGTACTTTGGAAAGTATTTGTAGAAGGCTGAAATAAATAGACTAGCTACTATTTTTAGATCCATCATATTTTTTTAAGATAGAAATTTAGAAATTGCTCTTCTTGTTTTCTCCATTAGGAAGTCTCTAGTCTAGAGAATTTAGGTGACCTCAGAAAATCACCTGGGACACCAATA